AGATAAGGGGGGGAGGGGGGAGAAATCAGTATCAGTACAGATTCTAAGCAAATGCAAAAGGCTTCTGTGCATGGTAGTGATTATGTGTGTGGCCTGCACAGGCTAATTTCAGATGCCTCCAAAGCTCCGTGGACTTTCTCCTTCATAAACTATTTGGGATTAAAACTAGCACCTCATCCATTTCAACTCTGACAATGGACACAAACACAAGGTAAGCTAATCAAGCCAAACAAGTTGAATGTTCCCCCTTACAGATGGCTGTTTTAATCTTAAACGACTACTGAATTTTACCAGACATGCTACACTTAATATTTTGACAGTTGTTTATTAAAATTACTTTCCTAGGAAGTCCTGTGAAACCAACAGTCTAGTTTTTATCAGAATGGAGGGATCAGAGAGAAGCGGGATTGATAGCACACTTGCAGCAAGCAGACAACAATAGGAAACTTTTAGCACTCCCAGAGTTGCATCAAATTTTCCATGGACCAAAACTAAAATGAAATATTCAATTACTGAGAGGTAGATAAGTAAAATAAACAACTAATTTCATGTAGTGACGTTGGGAGAGAATCATATGGACCTCATTCTGTTGTCTCCAAACACTTTGTCGAAGGGGGGAAAGGAGCTGAGTAAACTTTAAACTCTCATGGAGGGATGTATTGCTTGTGTGTCCCTGGCAGATGTGGAAAGGAGATGAAATGGGCAAGGGAGAATCAAATATCCCATCGCTGCAGGTTTGCTAAGGGAAAGAGCACTGCAAAGATCTCACATCTGGCAATCATTTGTCAAGAGCTGGAAAGAGAACGGCAGGAAACTTTCTGGCTCTTGGAGAAGATGAAAAGACAAAAACCATGTGTCACACACACACATACACACACACACACACACACACACACACACACTTGCGCACACACACACACTCGGCAATGGTACAATGACTACTACACTTATTCCCCACCCTTCCTTACCCTCACTAAATTTAATGATCTTCAGATATACTCCACTCCATGGTCAAAAACATGCAGTCACTTGACTTGTTAAAGCTGCAGTCTATGTACATTTTTTCAAATAAACCCCAGGGCTGATGTTAGAAAATCAAAATCAGTCAAGCATAGACCGCCTGGTACTTTGGGCAGGAATCCTTGTGGTTTCGTCAATAAACAGAATCTGAATGAAAGACACCACAGTAACTAGACAGTAACGTTTTGAACAGTTTTAACCTGAAGGGGGGACGGGGAAGGCGGGTGCACTAGTGACCATGGACAGAAGGCTACCAGTCCATTTACATCACTCTCTCTACCTGTGACACAACTGTGTTTAGCACAAGGTCATCTGTTATTTCTAACCAATACTCAAAAACACCAGTGAACTTATATTTGAGGGATGTTGTGAATGAATTTGGAGAGGAAACTGTTGGTTTTTTTTAAATTAACACACCTATTTAAAAGGGTGGGAAGGGAAAATCTCAGATTCCGTTTAATGCATACTAGTGATAACAATATAAAAATTTGCTAGCTTCGTTATGAATTCATAAAAATGACTTCAGTTTTGCATCAATAGGTTTAAGTAAAAAGTTTTCAAGACACCCTGTACACAATTAATTAACTTCTCCAAAATCATAAGAATTTAAATCTGTTCATGGTGATCTACAGTCTTCACTGGGCAGCTTTGGTCCACCCTTATGCTAAGTTTAACTAGCAGCAGCCACTAAGCTTGTCCCTGTGATTCCATGAGTGAATGCTGCAGGTTGTTTAATAACTTGGCAAATTCACAGTAGCTTGTCAAATTATTACAGGAACAGTGTCATCACTAAACAAGCCTGATCACGGTTAATTACAATGCAGACTAGAGAGCAGCCACAATTGTTCATTAATTACAGGAAGCACCTCATTTAAATTTTATGGAAATTTACACTTGCACCCTGGTATGTCTGGAAAAAAAAGTGATCCTTCACGCATTCACAGAAGAAAGGAGTCTGTGGTTTATGAAACACCACAGTAAATTGTGTCTAATCTGGTACAGAAATATTGGTTCATTATTTACTCTAATTTTCTAAACACTTTAGTGGTGAAAAATATCAAGTCAAACCCCACATCTTTAATTTCCCAACCAAGAAAGGAAATGTGCTGGGCCTACTGTAACAACTCAATACCTGATGAGGCACAGTTAGACTAAAAATAGTAACTTTTCTCTGATTAAAAATAAAAGTTACCAGCAATTAAGAGAGTCTAAACTAGAATAACCATTGCCTAGAAAGCACTTATATAAGAACACAATTTTTATACATCATCATCTACTACACATCAGTTTACCTCTCCAGCTGGAAAAAAAAAAAAAAAAGTCATTTTACACCTACTTCAAAAGCCACAGAAGAAAATTAACAAAGTTAGATAGTGAATCAAAATCTTGATTTCCATCTACTTTTCTAAATCAAGTCTATTAACACACACACACAAACACACACACACACACACACACACACACATAAACAGAACAGATGTCTCTGCAAAAGGACAAGTCAGTTTATGATCATTCCAAATAAAAGTTATATCCATGAAAGAGTGTCAGGGATTTTGGGAATATGAAACAATAACTTTGGTAAGACATCTGACATTTTAGGGATAAAAGGAAAGGGTTAAAAGGAATACCTTAATCAATAAAGAAAAAGTAAATATGAAGAAGCAGGAAAGGACTTCACCAGTCATGAAAACTCATGTCAGTTAAATATAAAAGTAGATCAAATATGGGTGCTAAATGAAAATCCTTCCTAGGAAAAGATATAAACACACCATTGCTCCTAAACTGAGGTGCCCACGAAGTTATTCTCAGAATCAAGAGGTGACATTGCGAATCCTCTGGCAGTTATGGTGTCTGGCACTGAGGGACAGCCTGAGATCTGAGTGGGAAAATAAGTGACTCTGATGACCCTGGCAAGTCCTAGAATGAGTCCCCTGGAGTGTAGAGTTGGACTAAAAAATAAGAAATGGCTCATTCTGTAAGGGAAGGGGAAAACCAAACACCAGAATACATTCCATGGCACAAATGAAAGGACTGTAAGCTAAAAACTACTCCTGGAATTGTTAGCTGGTAAAGAAGATATTAGGGCTCAAGTTTGTTATGACTGATATAATATGGGTATATACTAGATATTATTACAATGTATGGAAGCTAGATTAAAAAATGAAGAGGGAAAAAGAGAAGGGAAACAGTTCAAGTGAGTCTCAGTTAATTCACCAATTCACCATAGTTGACTATCTTTTGACGGGTTCTACCTTTCCACTCAGTCTGCCAAAACAGTGTTGCAAGAGGAGAAATCCAATAAACTGAGCACTTTTCATTTCTTTGCCCAGGAATTTGGTTGTCTTTGCAAGGCCCACGCTGCACTGTCAACTCCACAATTTGTTTCACCACCTACAACCAGAGTTTCACTGAAACTTATAAATAAGCATTCCCTCCCTTGGTATGTCATAATAAAGAGCTGCCTTGGTCTTTTTCAGTTTTGCATCACACAGTCACATCTGCAAAACCCATTGCTCTTTGCACCATAACTCAAGGTTCAAAAACAAATGATCCAACAGCCACCCATGACAGACCATTCCAGGTGATGTGTTTGAAGACCATCAATTGTCCTACCCAACGAGGTCAAGGATCAGACTATTCTCCAGGAAAAGTCTTCCATCACTTTGCATTGATGTGTCACACACAAGCTGTTAACTTGCGAAAACTGGGAAATGCACGCTTCATGTCTCATATGTGTCACACCTGCTTTTCTGTTGTATCACAGCCATACACCACCCAGGCAGTACCAGCTTGTGGCACTGAAGAGCTCAGGTGGTCTTCCTAGTCCAAGAGCAGGTGTACAAGTGATGGTGTACCCTTCAGAACCATAAAAACCGAAACCTCCTCCTCCCACCCCTTCTACCTTCACTCCCACTGTGAGGAAGTAACGTTTAAAACTATTCTCTTTTCTCAGGTGGGTTATCTCCATCAGTAATATGTTTTAAAACTGAACTCCCTATGCTCATCCCATAAGTCTGAAAACTTTAGAAAATGATGCCAAATGGAGGTCCTAAAAAACACTATGAGTTGGCTTACGCTAGGGATTGGCATCCCTATTGAAACCTCAGCCTGAATCCTTGCATCCCTGGCACACACAATTCTTACATATTTAAAGATACATGGAAGTGGAGACATTACTTTGGCCAAGACATCATATTTATATTTTTAATTTGCAATATACTAGACTGCTTTGACTATCTCAAGACCAAAGAAAATGAACTGAATTCCAAGTAAATAATTTCATACACACACACACAAAAAAAGGTACTTTGCTAATAAACTTACTATTCTACCAGACGCTATATCTCCCAATCCATGCAGAAGAAAGACACCTATTATTGAGTCCTATTTCTCCAGGACAGTACCCAGTGGAATGGCTTGCATTCTCCTGGGCTGGGGGGCCATAATGCAGGAAGCATAGCCTTGTTCACCAGGTATCCCCAGTCCCTAGCGCAGTGCATAGCACATGACTATGATGATTTAAAAAGATGGAAGCTAATATTCCCAGTGCCTGTTGCATGCCAGGCCCTAGATTAACTGCTAGGTATATTCTGGAACATTTAATCCTCATAATCACCTTGCATGGTAGGTAGATCTACATATTACACACAAGAAAGCTAAAGCTCAGCTAGACTGAGTGACTTGCCAAAGGTCTCACAGCAAGCAGCTTGCATCACCTGGGCAGCCAGCCTTCAAAAGCCACGGTCTTATCCACTGTAGTGTGTACTACTTCTTGGGTTAATAAATACATGATCTCCAGTCACAGACAACTTATCCTGAAAAAGACGTTTTGCTGCATATATGCTACACTGGTCCCTCTTTTACACTTGTCTCAATGGTTGTCTGTCCGTCTCCTGGTGTCACAGATACGTTTCTATGGCCTTTGGGAGCCACTGTTTCTGTCACGCCACCCCCAACTGATAAAACAGTAAGACTCCAACCTGGACTTCCAGCCTCTGGTCTGGCTCCTCCAGGCTTGGGCAGAAGTCTGCACCCAGCACTCTGCCAGCACATGCCACTGGAACCTGGGGGAATATGGCGGAGTTAGATAGGCGCTGGGCGTGGAGGCCGAGAACTGCACACACACACACATACACACTTGAAGCAGGAAGAAGCAGGGGCATCCCAACCGCAGGTCTGTAACAGGCCACCATGGCTTCACAGGTTTTTTGACACTTAGTAGGTCAAACATGTAACTATCACACATCCTAGATTGCTAAATACCAAGAAGGTAAATTCCAAGAAGAAAAGGTCCACATAAAATGTATTTCCCCTAGTATCTACAGCATGCAGCACCAAGTAGGCATGTAAATATCTTTAGATGGAAGGATGAGAGAAGGGGAAAGATAAGAAGGCATGGAGGAAGGAAATAAGAGAAGGGGAAAAGAAGCTTGGTGATACTTAATCCGCTGTTAATTTTCTTATGCGGAAATTAAGAAAATTGTATTCTATAATGGCTAAAGTTCCTCTGCACTCTTAAAAGATCTATTCAAATCTATTTCTTCTATTGCTGGGATAGACTAGCAAAGGCAAGTTTATTTATCAATATTTATTATTTACTTACTATCATTATTTATGTCTGTTCTAATAATAAAATGATAACCATAAAACAGCTATAACTTAGTTTAGTTCGTTGTTTCTAGAATTCTACACTGAACGTCACTAACATTCCCTTTCAAGAGTAAGTTATTCATTAAAAGGAGTCAATCTCATTCTGAAATACTGCCTCCTATAACTTACTTAATTGTAGACTTTTTAAGATAAGGAAAAAAGGATTTAGATTTTACTTAAACCTGTCTTTTTCCTTTTAAATGTTTTATCTAATATTCAATATGTCCAAAGATATACTATTTCATTCATTATACATCTATCCATATATATAGGAATTCATCAATTCTCAATTCATCAATCAGCTTCACCTCACCTGTGTTCTTTCCCTATAAAGTCCTCCTTTGGTGTTTAGTTTTATTTCTTTTCTTTTTTTCTTTTTTTTTTAACTCTTATTAGGATCATCTGTGCCAATCAATTTTCGTTGTTTAGAGATCACTTTTTAACCAACCATGCTACCTTAGAAGGTATTTCCCTCTTTCTTTTTGACCCACAAATCAGTTCACTTCTCCAAATTTTAACAATATCAAGAAGCTTCATTTTGCAATATTACTAATTTTTTTATAATACTAGTGAATAGTAAATAGTGAATATTACTATTTAAAAAAAAAAAAAAACATTCAGTCAAAACTTCGAACATTTCAGATTCAACTTTCCTATTCTTTTTTTTAATCTCTCCTTCTTTCTTCCTGCCTTTGTCCATAAGGCGAAATTGTCAGAATATCATCTAACTCTGAAATTAACTAGTCTTTACCCAGGAATCTCTCCAGTGAAGTCCAAGAGGGAAAGGAAAAGGTCACATTTACAGGGTCACATGCCAGAGAGTTGCACAGCCCAAACTTTAAAAAAGAGGAAGAAAGACTGAGAACATATTTCGAAGTTAATGAAAAGCATATAGTAGTTGTATTTAGTGGCATTCATTCTAGGGGTATTTGATGTTTCACATGAAAGAAGTTACAAAAAAGACAAAGGAAATGGAGAAGGTGTTACCAAAAACCAAGGCTGACTACCTGCTCTTTGGTCTAGGACAACGTACACAATGTAAAAAGGAACCGAGCCTTGGACTTGAGGAATGAGAAAGAAATGGAGCATGGAGAAGTGGAGATACTGTGCCTCTGGGTTGTGTCACACATAGGATGATGCTGATTCCACCCCTCAGATGACACACGGAGGGGTACTAATGAGTCATGCAACAGTAATTCTCCCTAGGGTGCAACAGAAGGACTGGAAAAAACTCAGAATATCCCATATCAAAATGAAACACCCCCAAAAAACTTCCCATGAAACCTCAATAAATGTTACTACTTAGCTTACTAAAGCAGAACCCGTGAGCCAGAATTAAGTGTAAACAATACTTTATTTTATATACACAGAACAAAGTCCCACTTACCTTAATATTATTTGGCCAGATCACAAATTTTCTAAGTTTTTAGTTCCTTCCCTCTGCCCCCACTAACAGAATGCATTTTACAAAACACTCTCAACAGGAAATGAGACAGTTAACCAAGTACAATGACACTCAATTACAACCTCAGACGCTTAGAAATACAGTTTCTGAGAGAAAACAAGAAGTGCTGTGAATAAGTTGGGAGGAAGCTGTGCCAGGCCTCTAGAATGTTTCAATAATCCAGATCAGAAAAATGATTTAGTAGGAAAGCGGGTAGAACTCTGATACTTAGAATCCTCAAGTTTCAGAGCAGAAAAAAATCTGTTAGTGTCCATATAAATGGACTCTCACATTTTAAAGACGAGGAAATTGAGGTTCAAACTAAACTGCAGTTTCAGGGATGGGCTCCCCTTCCAACAATATTCTCCCACCCCCATTGACAATTGGTGTCATTGATTATGATAGAAAAAAATTTTAAACAAAAGGTAAGAGACAGTATCTGGTTCCTAATTTATTAAAATGTACCAAGGAAAACACAAAGGATATAAAAGTTATATTAGTTATAATTCAGCACACCTAGACAATTAGGCCTTTTGATTTAGAAGCCTCCTTTGTTAACCAAATAGCTATGAATCAATCAAAAAATGATTGGCAGAAACAAATTATGGAAATTCATATACTACTCCATTTTAAGTGAAAATATTAAAATATAGTGTATACCCAACCACTGTTTACAATGGAATATAAAACTGAAAATTGATTTGGGGAATTCCAATGTTAATCCACCTTCCTTCATGTCAGCGTTCACAGTGTCTGTTCCAATGCCCTATTTTTAAAACTAAGTTCTACAATGATTTTTGCAAAATGTTCACAGTGATTTTTATCTCTGAAAAGAAGTAAGACAGAGGGAACCTTTTAAATTCTTAGTCTTAATCATTGCATATTTTGCTCTTAAAGTAACAAAAACATTTAAGTTGAAAAGAAAGAAAAGTACTAACCATTATCAGTTAGTGTGGCTAAACATTCTGCCACAGGTTTCATTATGGGATGGTAATTGTCTAGCACTCATCTAAATTTCATTCTGCTGCTGCTGCAACAGGAAATAAGAGGCCTTGGAAGGGACCCTCTAGGATCCCCAGGGAAGGCAGAAGCTGAGTGCATATCTACTCTCCTGTACATACCCCAAAGGAATCACGGTGTGTGAGAGAGCTATTTACAACTTAGTGTATAATCAGCAGAAACAAAAGATATGACAACAAGCATAAAAGCCTCTTTCCCTCCCTCTCTCTCTCTGTTCTCTCTCTCTCTCTGCTCTCTCTCTCCTCTCAGGAGAGTTCAGCAAGGGAGGGCCAGTGGGTATTCACTTCAGTGTCAAAAGGGCTTCCAGAAAACACATTTTCTGTGGGGCAGAGAAGAAATATGGCAAACTTCCTACACACACACACACACACACACACACACACACACACTCACACACACGATCTTTGTTTACTGAGATCACACAGAAAGACTGTGAGAAGCCAGATTTCTGAAAAGAAGTTAGGAAAAGCCCCACACTAAAAGGAAGCTACCGTTTACAATATTTGAAGTGGAATGGGGGTACAAGGTGGGTGTCAGGAACGGGACAAAGGGAGAGAGAATGAGGCACAGACATGGTAACCTGGGAAATGAAATGTGTTCCCAAGAAAAGGGCTTATAGACACGGAGATGCTTTTTGCACAGCCTGAGCCCACTGGAAATGTAATTTTATTTTTGAACATTAAGCATTCAGGTAGGCACTTGCCTGACAGGCACTATAAAAGTCACAGCCTAAATAAGCAAACTGACTCCCATGTCAGCTCAAGTCTCCTCTGTTAAGCTGGCCACAAGCCCAGATCGGTTCTGAAGTGTACGTGTTTTGGTGGCTTCAGTCTAGCAGCGAAGATATGAGAGAAACTGTCTGAACCCAAGAAGAACTTGGAAAGGAATGGATAAACAAAACTGCTTTTCAAAACTAAAGGGAGAGCGAAAACCCAAAACAAGTCCTCTCTGGGAACTGGGGGACATGGCTGGGCGCAAGCTCTGCCACGTTCCAGGCCAGAGAAAAGCAGCAGAAGAACTTCAGCCTGGTTTCAGTGGGCTGACAATGCCAAGCAGCAGAAGGGACAATTATGCAGATAACACAAAGAATTCAGGAAGACCATTAAGTGAAATGGATTTGACAATAAGCTAGCCAGGAGCCTGTGTGAGAAAGAGCAGAGAAAGGAATAAATTAATTAGCCACCACAGTGAAGATGAGGATGCATGCGAAACACAGGGCTGCAAAATAAATGAATGCAAAGGCTGAAATGCAGGAAGGTGAGCCGGGTTGTTGATGTGCTGCTATAGCTTATATCCTACTCATTTTTCAGGTTACGATTTAACTAATGAACAACATTCCAAGCCTAAACTTTCTCATCCATGGAAGCCCAGGCTGAGACTCAGAAGGACCAACTATATAAACCCAACGGTTAGGTATGAAAACAGTTTTCTGGTCTCAGCTACTGGTGAGTCCAAATACTTCTTTATCCCTCTTCCAAAAGAAAATGGCCAGAACTGTGCTCATTCTTACAGATGAGACAGAGTTGTAGGAATGGGGGAACACAATCAGGATGCGAGCTATGTTATAGAAGAAGAACTATGTAGGACAGTGGACAGACCACTCTGGAGATATCTCAGATCAATAAGCTTGAGGATCAGGTTAAGAAAAGAGAGAATAGAAAAGAGTCAAGTATGTGATTCTGCTACTCTACAGGTTGACGGATACAGAAGGGGACTGGGGCTGGGGGAGACACATCTCAGAGCAGCCAGGCCTGTTTAATTGAGGTTCAGGCTCTTCCTGCTGGTCCTCTTGGGGAAGCTGCCAGAGAACAGGGCCCTAGGCTCCTTGATCGGAGCAACCTCTGCAGGTACAATTACAGGAGATTTTCGCTGCCACAAACAACAACAAAAATACCTTGTTTTTATATTGTGAAATGTAGGATAACACATATAAACCTCTCTTGCCTGGTG